ATAATTGTTATTGTGACTACTTCACACACACAAACTATAATAAGAAGTGTAAAGCTCGCTTTTCACTATGGGATATAATATACTTTATATCTTTTCTATCTCACTGTGAGATATGTCTTTTATCATTGGATTACCCTTGTGCCCCGCACACCGTTCTGCGGCGGTGTGGAACGGTGTGCGAGGTACAGGGGGCGAAATATAATATGAAAATATCGCTTGGTCGATCGAAATAATAATAATAATAGTTTAAGATGTAATATATATTATAGCTCAGTATAAACGGTTCCATTTAAAAGTATTAATTTATATCTCGAGATGTAATATATATTATATTGTTGCGCGCCACTTTTAATGTCTTGTACATGGCAGCACTAGTTGCCACTAGCGCCCTCCAGTGTCGAATAGCAGAACTATGAGAGTCAAGATCCTTCTAGAAATTTCTAGAAGGATCTTCCTTCTAGAAATTTCGGGACTTATATTTACTCGAACAGTCTCAGAACAGTCAGAAGTTCTGGAAACTATCTGTGGCCCTATATAAGGCCGGTATAGACCACGACCGAGTCAGTATTGAATTAGTCACGGGTGTCTCATCTATTTTATTTAGGATGAGGGAGTACCTCATTTTACCTAGCGAGGTACTCACGAGATACCCCTTATTTGAGGTGAGGAATCACTAGTCGTTGTATTCATCTCACAAGGCGAGTCGCCTCCTTTCAAAAGTTTTTTGAAAGGAGGAAGTTTCTTACCATTTTCATTATAATTATAATATTATTACGTTACAACAGGCGTTATCAGTGGACGCAAATGAAATTCGAGGTCACAAAAAGGTGCGCATGATTTTATATTCACACTCATTTATGTGACTTGAATGTTTCAAATTCCATTACTCAAAAATTATTTTTGTTGTTTATTAACATTTTTCCTCAATATCGACACCTTTTGTTTTGGTGCATAATACATAATCTCGATACCAACTTGAACTATTTTTAATCGAGTTCTTCGCTCACTCACTCGGGACACGATTCATATTGTCAGTCATAAGCGAGGTCGTGAACGAGTGAGTGAGGTGTTTTAATGTTAAAATTCGAGTAACTCTTTCGATTTGCCGTCACGAGGACCTCAAACGAGGCAACTCATGAGTGAGTTTATAGAATAGAATAGAATATTTTTTTATTCAATATTGATAAGTAGTAATAGTAAGAATACTTATTGAAAGTCATTTTTTATTTACCACTGGTTCGGAAATCACACCAGTCCTGGGAAGAACCAGCAAAAAACCCAGTTAGACTTTTTTTCAAACATATTTCACTTAACAATAACTTCGTTTATACAATTTTTAAATGATTTTTCATAGAACCAGCAAGGGGGCGATCACCTTATTCCCAGGGGTTATTTTCATTCATGTATTCTATGATATTATAATAACCCTTTTTGTACAGTTTTTCTTTAATAAAACTTTTAAACTTGTTTATTGACAAACTTTGAATATGTTCTGGGATTTTGTTGTAAAAGCGTATACATTGCACTATAAATGAATTACTGATTCTGTGGAGTCTAGTAACTGGCATTACAAGCTTATGTTTGTTCTTAGTGTTTAAAGTGTGCACATCCTTTTTCTTATTAAAGCTATTTATGTTTTTATACACATACATTACATTCTCATAAATATATTGCGATGCCAAAGTTAATATGTTTATTTCTTTAAATTTTTCTCTAAGGGACTCCTTACAATTTAGGTTATAAATCTCCCGTACAGCTCTCTTTTGCAAAACAAATATAGCTTCAATATCAGTCGCATTACCCCATAGCAAAATTCCATAAGGCATTATGCTATGAAAGTAACTAAAATACACTAATCTAACTGTCTCAACATCTGTGAGGCTTCTAATCTTTCTTACAGCATATGCTGCAGAACTAAGTCTGCTTGCTAATTTAGATATATGGGGGCCACCATTGAAGTTTCGCGTCAATAGTAATACCAAGAAAAACAGTGGTATCCACAAGACTGAACTCCTCCCCATTTAACAGCACATTGGTATTCGAATGTTTTACATTAGATATTGTAAATTTGATACACTTTGTCTTGTAGCAGTTTAAGAGCATATTGTTGGCGTTAAACCAATGTACCAATTTCGCATTTAATTAGCATTATTTACATCGTCATAATTAATTGACTGCCGTTTGAGTTTGAAAATTAAAGAGGTATCGTGAGCAAATAATACTATATCGTGATTGTCCCCTACAAGATAAGGTAAGTCATTAATATAGATTAAAAACAGGAATGGGCCAAGAATCGAGCCCTGAGGAACGCCCATTGATACTACTGATCCGGAGGAACCTTTACCATTGATCACTACTTTTTGAGTTCTGTTACTTAAATATGAAGTAATAAGTGTAATCGCTAAATTTTTTACACCGAAATGTTGTAGTTTCCTGATTAATATCTCATCATGAGCACAATCGAAAGCCTTGGAAAGATCACAGAAAATACCTAAGGCATCTTGTGAATTATATCGCTAATTCAATATAGTATCACTATATTGAATTGGCGATATAAGCGAATACTTCGAAGCGATACAACTGCGAATTAAAGTGATCTGTAGTACAATTGTTTTGTTATTAGTGTGGTTATAAGTTGTAATTAGTGTTCTGTAATTAAAGTGTCAATTTTGGTAATTCACTCGGCTGTTTTTAATTGTGTCGAACCCCAAGCTCGTAACAATATTATATCCCATAGTGAAAAGCGGGCTTAATAATCGCTATTAGCTTATTTGATATTGTCAAATTGACAGTGTCAATGTCAATCCTGTCACTGCCTGTGCATTATAGAGTTTTGGCGGGAACTTGACCGGCGGCAGCTTGCTGCTCCTGTATTATTGTTTAAATAATGGTTTGAAGTGGACTTTGATGTGTAAAAGCGGTGAGATTTTGTGTATTAAGTGTCTGCGCATGTGAACTATTAGTGGAAACTGTGAAACAAGTGCTCTGATGGTGATGGATTCTCAAGATAAACTGTTTGTTTGCATAGGCGCCTTTAGATACCATCGCCAACTGTCAGCTGCCTGCTGGCTCAAGTTGCCGTCAAAATTTCCTAAGGGTTGCACAATGTGACGCATCAACATATTGTAAAGCAGTGAACTATGAAGGATAATTATACATGAAGACAAGGCTGTATGGCATAGTTCCTTTGCCTGCTCTTTGACACCAACCACAGAGTACGGATGTGACATTGAGTGAAAAAAATCGATTAATAAAAAATCGATTTTTTGCTTTGTGATAATAATCGATTTAAGAAAAATCGATTTTTTTATAAAAAAATAATCGATTTTTGCGAAAAAACAATATTTTATTCGAAAAATAATCTTCTGGTTTTAGAAATAAACTATAGAACAATTTTTTTAACATATAACTTTGAACAATAAAAAACTAAAAATAATTACTGCCACAAATGTTCAGTGCCATTTAACAATTTATTACAACCAAAATAAACAGAAACGATAAATTAAACTAAGTTTTACGGATTTTATCACGTTTAATTTAACTTTTTAATTCCCGACATTTCAGGTGCTTTACAGCACGCATGGTCACAGAGGGGACTGAGGTGTTTGACGTCCCTATGTCATAGTTGAACCACAAATCCTCGCAAAAGAAGACCGATTCCTACCAAGGATGATTCGCGAGGCTATCGAAATTAAAACACATCCTAATTTCAATATAGAAGATGGATGGATGCTGCCACTTGCTTGGCATCCTATAATTAATAAAATTAAATCCAAACCCAAGCATATCACTGTAAGACTTCAAGATACTGTAAGCTCATTCTGCGTAGATCGGACCAAAAATTAATATTCAAAAACTGAATTTAGCCAGGCTAAATATGACATCTGGCGTCAAAGACCTCAGTTTCCCCCGTGACCATGGGTGCTGTGAAGCACCCGAAACGTCAGGAATTAAAAAGTTAAATTAAGCGTGATCAAATCCGTAAAAATTAATTTCATTTAATGTGTAGTCTTCGCGTAAATATAAGAAATCATTAAGAAACCATAATTTTAGTAAACGATAGTTTTTTTTTAAACTAAGTTGGAACAAACAAAAAGTCTAAATATCATTATGCCACTAATGTTCAGTATCATTTACATTGGATTAGAATGAAAATAAAATAAAAATATAATTATAAATAATCCGACGACAACCCTTTGATCTCAAAACTAAAATACAAGACAAATCTTTTTTTAAACTTGTGTAAACAAAAAAAGTAAAAAAATATTGCCATGAATTTTCAGTTAAAGACTTTAAAAACAATCATTTCACCAAAATTCTTCTTCGTCTCTTTCCCAAAATACGGTTTCGTTTTTTCCTGACAATATTTCCCGCTTTCAAAAATATTGTTTCGGCTGGCGTGGAACTGGCCATCACTGAGAGGTGTTTAAAAGCCAATTCGGTTAGTTTAGGGAAAGTTCCTTCAGAGCTTCTCCATATATTGAGGGCATCTGCCTTGAGATTTGATAGTGGTGCCGCAATATATAGATCCAATTCAGTATTTTTGCCTAATGACGTGTTGGCCGCTATCATTTTTTCATTATAAAATACTTCTGTCAATCACTTTTACGCGTTTCACAAGACATTTTTATTGTTTATATATAATTGTTTACACTAACTAAAGAAAGAAAGAAAACCACAGAATACTTTTACTCCTAGCGGAGGAAGAAACCTGTTGAAAACATACGAAAAGCGAAACTGTTTTACATACATAGAGATACATAAAGGTGGCGCTGTCTTTTGATTGACTTATTCATGTTATTGAACTTACTTCCACGTTTTTACATCCATCGCACAGATGACTCTGATTACAAAAATCGACTGAAACGCGTAATTTACATAAAAATCGAATTATTAAAAATCGATTTTTATTATAAAAAAAATCGACTTCGAAAAATCGATTATAAGAAAAAAATAATCGATTAATATGAAAATCGATTATTTTTTCACATCCCTACCACAGAGTACTTTTTATATACTGAAAACACCAATTGTGCATTATAATTGTAATATAATAATATTTTTGAAAACTCGGATTTATTGCTGAAAAAGTGAATTAAATTATATTAAAGCTAATGGAAACAGGAATGGCCTTGCGTGAAGTTTGTAGAATTTGCTTATGCGTTAATGTACGCATGTTTGTACTAAAGAAGACTAGTCTCCGAAATTTGTACAAAACATTGACGAACAGTTTAGTAAGTTTGTTAACGTCTCCTAATATTGCAAATTGAAGTTGCGGTATTTTGTTGCTACTGCCGATGAAATACTTTATTACTTGCCATATAAAAATGTGATAGATAGGGTTAGGCTAAGACAAATGCAACCAGAACCTGAAAAACACCAATTAGCCTAAAATCCTACTACGTGCTAGAAGAGGCACCGAGACTTAATTGTTTGCAACACGCGTTAGCGCCTGCGAGATAAAAATTACTTAGTCTGTGCCATAAAAAGGTACCTTGTGCCTCCTTCCACGCGACCTGCACTGCTACATAGTTTTTTTCCCGGTCTATGTTTTAGTACATATTACTGAGTTTTATTGCGATTTTCTGTCAAAATATCCAAATCCACCCTGGTTTGGTCTTTTAATACTGGCAAGCTAATTGTTGAGTGGCCCCCCACTGGATAGTGGCAATCTGGCAACACGAAGTCCATGGATGTAGGTGGCTTAAGACTGTGTTGTTGCAGTGATGATGATTCACTAGGTGGTACGACTTTGTTCTTCCTAGGAGTATGTCTGGGTAGTTATCATCCTCTTGCCTATTTCTTCCACCAGCAGCAATATGTGTCCCGGTGTGAAGGACATTGAGAGCCAGTATAATAACACGCTGTGAAGCATTACATCAAGGTCCTCAGAGGTAACATCACATCTGTAGCCTTTGCTTCAAGTTCGTTGCAAGTGACTCAACCATTTACCATCAGGTGGTTTGTAAGTTTATTTGTCACTTCAATATTGTAAAAAATGATGTTGATGAAGAGAATCGTGGTAGCCAATAGGTTTTATTACAAACTTGTATATTAAGTAGTTTTCCAAATTTATGACGAACTTTCATATTTTCAGATGGATGAGGATGAGGAGCCCATAATTGTCTGTTTCACCTGTCATGCAAGACTCATTCGTTGCAGAACATTACAACAGCAGGCTGTTGAATCAAAAGCAGTTCTGGAGCAGTTGCTTGCAGGAGGGTCCATGGTATTATCCGTTCCATCCATTAAAACCTATAAAAGTCCCTCATAGATTGCTTGATAGTAGTGATTTTACCAAATTTGTCACGTTTGACAGATTGGCAACTGCAGTTCATATTAGTCTGAGTTGTTATGAGAAACATGCTGCCGTCCAAATCCTGTTTTTGATTCCCTCTGCCGCCTCTTACGACACCCGTCCCGTGGGTAGGTAAGAATATCCACTACCCTATGTAGTGGATATTCTTACAACGCCACTAAACGGTCCACGGTATTATACTTCTTATCAATGAAAGTTCACTGCTTGATAGTTCGTTCCCATTATTATGAAGTATTTGCCTTAATCATCACTTGGCACCTTGATGAGCACTATCTGTCTCGTGCCTTCTATGCTGCTTCCTGTTACTATATGGGGTATTATTTTTTCTACTGCAAAGTTAAGTTTATCCTTCAATCTAACTTACTTTTTTGTTAGATGTTCTATATTTTATGAATTACAGTAAGATAAGTATTAATTTTTACTAAATAATTGTCTGTTTATACTTTTATATATTACTCTATTGTATATAAACGAAATATTATCTATATGTAATATTACTCAGTAAACAAAGATAGATCTTTGTCAATTTACGGCATTCATGAATCTGTTTTGAGAAATTTTTGAGACTTGATACTCAAGATGGATGAACTACATATGTATCTACATTCTTATGTAAGTTTATTCGGAACCCTCACTTTGTACGGTTTTTATTATTATTTGGAGTTGTTGTCCGGAAGATTCTGCTGTCCATCTCCTGTTTCAGTTTCCCTCTGTCCCTTTTTACGACATCTGCGGGATGGTATGGTAGTATGGATTCTTCTATGGCACCACTACATTGGCATTTTCTTATTTAATAAAAGAATTTGGTTTCAGTCAATACCAAAACCGCATGCGGCTAGAGATAAGATTCAATTCACACCAATTAGTCATATAGATATCAGGCCAGTAGAGTGTGATGTAGAAAATAATTGTAAGGACGATATGTTTAGCCTTGAATCTGTTAAAGTTGAGGAAGAGAATTTCGAAAATAAGAATAACAATTTTGAACAAAATGGGAATCATGAAACAGGTAAGATATACACATTTTGTGATATTAATAAAATAAGCTACAAGTTACCTAATGGCAAGTAGTTACTGTAGCCCATGGACACAAAATAATATTATAGTTGACATATTGGGGTGGAGTGGGCTGTGTGTTTCAGATGCGTACCAATTTACTCGACAAGGCGTCTTTAATGCTAACATTCTTAATAGAATGGCTGAAGACATTGAGCTATTCTGTTGCACCTTGAGTGAATTCACTATGGTAGGATGGTTTACAATTTGTTACAGTTAATGACCACATTTTTGTTATGCATGAGAAGAATTACACTGTCGCATGAGGTTATTCCTTTCATGATAGTTGTTAGTTTAAATAAATAAATAATTGTCAATGTAAAATAATTATTCATTATTTGATAAAAAAAAACTTTGTAAGATGCTCATTATTTTCATAGGAATTAATGATGTACTTACAACTGGTAAGCAACCTGTCTTTGCCAATTTTATTAGGAATGCCACAAAGCACGGTCCTGAGCCACCTGCATCCATCGACTTCCTGCATGTCTTACCAGGTCGTCACTCCATCTAGTGGGGGGCTGCCTTACACTTCGCCTGCCGGTACTTGGCTGCCACTCAAGAACCTTTCTTCTCCATCGGTTGTCAGTTCTTCGGCCCATTGCCACTTTAGCTTAATATTACACTTAGCTTACAAAACATGCAATATGGTAATGAAAGTGGGAGGCTCAGGCCCATGAGCTTTGTGATGGACTGTAATGATCTAGTCGCTTGAAAAAACTATCAGTAATTATTTTATATATTGAGTCAGAATCTGTTTTATTCTAGAGAGTGCTGAAAAACAAGAAGACATGGAGATTGATGCTTTTGAAGATAGACATACGGATTCGGAGAACAACTTGCCACTAATTGCATTTGTTTCAAAGAGTAAAAAAGATGATGATGACATAGGTAAATGAATTTATGTTAAAAAACCTGTATCAAAAAATAAAAAAAATCACCACAAATTTCTCTAAAAAAATTAATAAGTACGAGAAAAAAGTCTTCTTATGCATAGCCATAAGTGTGAGAAAGATAGCTTATCGAAGCATGCCGACAGCGGAGGGGGGGCTAAGCTCCTCGCGCTGTGATTGGTTATTAAGAAATATCCTTTTCAAAGATTTTAAGATGAAATTCTTGTTTTGGGATTTAGCATGTATGTATGCACATACCGAGTATATGGCCATGTAAATATCTGTGTATATAGTTTGAATGATCTTAGATCAATGCTGTAATAATTTGTATAATAGCTTGCATTAATAGTAACCTTCGCAAAAATATGTTTTGATAATTACCAGCCCAGGTTCTTAAAAAAGGAGAGTATGTATAAGTGCTAACCGCCCAGAGATGAAGGTAGAAAAAGTAAAAGTTGCACGTTATCTACAGCTGTAACTTTTTTTACGGTGATATGGTACAGATTAGATATGGGCGCCGCCTTAAAATTTGTCGGCGGCGGCGTGCTGTCAAATTTCAGTCGGCGGCGGCGTGGCTACTTTCCCTGTATTTTTTTATAAAACACGCAATCTACTCCTCTTCACCTACTTGGATTAAATCTCAACACGCTGGTTATTAACACCAATTCAGGTGGACGACAGGAAAATGTCAGTATATTACATACCTTGTCTAGATTAGGTACAAAAAAAAAACAATGTTACAAATGAACGCTTACTTTAACAGCCTCATAAACAGTTTTTTAACATACTAATTAATTTCATTACTATCCATCTTACATATTTTATAATTATCATGAATGAATATAATTTTATTTACCCGAATTGTAGCATTATACTTTATTGATGCAAATAGAAAACATGTTATAATAAATAAATAAATAAAATAATTTATTTTTTAAAACTTAAATTAATTATATAGTTGATTATAGAAAATAAATAGAGCTCAAGTGAGATCTTTTCGCCGTAACGGTTAACCCGGCTACCAAGAATACCCTCTCGCTTGGAGTGCTTGTGGCACACAGAGTAGAGCTTTAGCAAGAGCAGCAATATAAGGAAATACTTTTTTTTACTGTTCCAATAAGTTAATAAATCACCATCTTTTGGTTCTGTAGGATCAGCACCAGCAATGTAACGCCAACATTCTTGCTACATTGGATTACCTTGAATCCCTTGGCATACTACTAACACTATGTTTCCTCGACAGTTTATGCAAGAATGATGTGTCGGTTACATTGCTGGTGCTTGTATTGCCTGTATTTTCGTCTAAAGCTTCTGGCTCGTTATTAATATTTATAACTTCTCTGATGTGCGAGGAAAGGAAGGACGTTCTGGCAATATTCGGGTTTTCTAGAAAAATTCAATTTCTGTCATACTCATAAAGCGGTTATCCAAAAGTGCTGCTGCGACAATGGGCTTTGTTACTGGGAATCTTTTACTCATTTTTTTCATCATGTTGCTTTTTAAGCTTAACATTATTAGTGCATCATCATCTTGATTGAGCTTTAATACGTCCATAATCTCAGAACGGAACACCAGAGCAACATTCATTGTGCATGTTTTCTGAGACGACAAGATTTCGACGGCTTCACGAAAGCTTCTCAAAAACTTTACTAAATTTTCTAAAAGAATCCACTCACTTTGAGTTATTCTAAGTTCTTCTTGGCCAATCTTCCTGTGTGAAAATGCTGTGCCAACGAGTTGGGGTTGCGGTTTTAATTGTTTGAATAAGTTTGTAATTTTCGGGTCGTGATCCTGATGGTAAAGCCCTGTCTTCAATTTCGGTTTCTTCGGCATTTTCCAGTATTAGATCAACTTCAGGAACAGGGTCGCTCTCGTCACTTTCTAAGGTTTCAACAACGCCTTCTATTTTCTCCAAAAACTAGTTGTTGCTGTACCTTTTCGGCTTCAGCTTGCAACTCTGGGGCGCGATATCTCACAGCCTTGACGACTTTTTTGCATTTCTGAACTAGTAGTGCAATTTCTGGAACCGAGTTTATGCCGTCGACTGTCACCAGATTATGAAGCCCATGACCTAGACATAGAAGGTGAGTCAAATTGGCGATCCCAACTGCTCGTTTCACATTATTTCCAGCATCAGTGACTGCAACAATCGCTTTGCCGTCCAATATAAACCTCTTCTTTATGTCATCAATACCATCATTAATTGGACGTGGTTATGCAAAAAGGATCCAACCCGAGTTTTTTGTCAAAAATGTTGACTTGAAAAATAATGTTTGTGGTCTATTATGTGATGTAACAATTTTAGCAAACGTAACACAAATAAGAAGAAAAATTACAAACAGACAGAAGCTATACCGATAATTTGAGTTTATGATTTTTGAAGTATCCATACTTCAAATATCATGAACTCAAATTAACTTATTGCGGGTTGGATTAAAAACTGCGGTTGCCAACCCCCTCGCCAAGCGTGGCAACTACGGCAAATACCCCCAAAATGGATAAAGTTACTAAGAGACGGCCCCCAGTCCCCGGCGGCCCCACTATTCCTGGCTACGGTGGCGACCATGGTAATGGCGGGGCAGGGGGTGCTAAAAATCTCCGGTGGAGGTTGGGTTGCCACCTTAGACGACTTGACCTGGCAACGTACAACGCACGCACCCTGAGGACTGACGAGAAGATCGTGGAGCTGGAAGAAGCGATGGACAAGTTGCGCTGGCATATTATAGGATTATCCGAAGTATAGAAGTCCGAAGAGAGGGGGAGGACACGGTAATCCTCGAATCCGGCAACTTGCTCTATCACCGGGAGGGCGACCATCTGTCCCAAGGAGGTGTCGGATTTATCGTCCACAACTCTCGTTAACAACGTTGTAAAGATCGGGAGTGTGTCGACGAGGGTTGCGTACCTTATACTCAGAATCACCAAACGGTATTCGCTGAAGGTCATACAGGTTTACGCACCAACCTCGGCACACCCCGATGAGGAGGTGGAGGAAATGTATGAGGATATCTCTAGAGCCATGCATTCCTCCAAAACCCAATATACGGTGTTAATGGGAGACTTTAATGCAAAACTAGGCACAAGAGAGAACGGTGAGCTGAAAGTAGGGAAATTTGGAATAGGGCAACGGAACCCAAGGGGCCAGCAGCTGGCCGACTTCATGGAGAAAGAGGGACTCTTTATGATGAACTCTTTCTTCATAATTTCTGTACTACCAACATTAAGTAAAATTTTTTTAAAAATTATTTTAGATCAGATGTTAAGTTTCTTTGATATTAATAAATTGCTACATAAAAATCAATTCGGTTTTACAAGGGGTCGCTCGACAACTGACGCTGGAGTTGAGCTTATTAAACATATTTTTTGTGCATGGGAGAATTCAGAGGATGCTTTGGGTATATTTTGTGACCTTTCCAAGGCCTTCGACTGTGTTCACCATGAGACATTAATCAGGAAGCTACAGTACTATGGTGTCAAGAACACAGCGCTCAAACTTATTATTTCATATTTAAGTAATAGAAAGCAGAAGGTTATTATCAATGGTAAAAGTTCTTCCGGGTCATCTGTACTAATGGGTGTCCCTCAGGGCTCGATTCTCGGCCCATTCCTGTTTCTGGTGTATATTAATGACTTACCTCACCTTGTAGGGGATAGTCATGATATAGTATTATTTGCTGATGATACTTCCTTGATTTTTAAACTTAAACGTCAATCATTTAAATGTGACGAAGTGAATAATGCTATATCAAAATTAGTGCATTGGTTTAACGTTAATAATCTGCATTTGAACGGAAATAATGCGCACTAAACGGGCGTGGCTTTTCAAATTTACCCGCTAACAACAGAAAAAGCAAGCCACAAAAGAAAGGAATTTCATTATTACGTATAAAAAAAAATATTTTTACGTATTACGGACGGGCGTGATTGCAGACACAAAATTAAAACAATCAAACCAACGCTGCCTGCCACCAAAATTGCTTAATTTTTATCAAACACTGATCGGGATCGACCGGGATCGAACCCGGAACCGCGCTCTGCTACCAGTTTGTTACGGCGTGCAGCTACCTATCCAGGAGTAGGGTCCTCCGGGGCCCATTGACGGAAGAACCTACAGGCAGATGCAGGTCGGGCCTCCTAAAGGCCAAAGTGGAAAGTCTCTAATTACAATAAACAATAAGGGGGGGGGGCGTTCTTTCTTACTGCTATTCAACGGGGAGAATATTAAAACCGAACTTACTTACCTATATCCCAGGCGACTGGTCCCTCAGGGTTCGGTCAAGGTCGCATGTGGTTGTAGGGTGCATGGGAAGTAAGGGTCAGTGATGTGTATCTGTGTGTGACTGATTATGGTAGACCTTATTAGACCGTTGCCGTCGGCAGCAGCTCGGACTTCAGCACCGCTCCAAACTGTGGTAAACTTCCGCGGCGCCGTCCACAGTCACTTTCTTCGTTCGTCACGATGACAGTCCATTAACTCTATCGTACGATTAACTAATACAGAAGCCACTAACTCTCGTTTGTTATAAAGCTTAACACACAAAACGAACACGGAGTGTCCGGATCAAAGGTCACTACCGTTTCGCGTGGCAACAGTTATTTCTAGAATATCAAAATGCCGCACTAGCTAATATTGTCGAATGCACTTATACAGATTCTGAGTTAGACACACAATAAGTCCCGGGTGAAGCTTTCAAGCAAGGAATGCGCGTTACGTATCCTAAACAGTATATATCCTAGACGCGCGTGCAGTATTCCGCGTCCCCGCACAAAAAATGACAGCGTGCCGTCTATAGCACCGCTGGCAGACGACTGCTTTTTCGCTCGCGACCCGCGCGCTCCTGCCACGCTCGGCCGAACTTCAAACCGGTATCGCGCTGAGCCGAGTGACCTCTGGCTTCGATTCTTGACGTTAGCGCTTGGCGCGAACATCATTACTTTTTGATCTGTTGTCCAATATATACAAATAAATAAAATTGAAGTGTCTGTTGGTATTCTCAAAATTACAGTTTTTTTTACTAAATGCATATGAAAGTAAATACAATACTTATAACTAAAATAAATTTTAACAAATTTTGTCTGTCTGTCTGTTTGTTCCGGCTAATTTCCGAAACGGCTGGACCGATTTTGACAGGACTTTCACTGACAGATAGCTGATTTCTCAAGGAGTTACTTTTATTTTAGAATTAGAATTAAGGTTCCGCGCAAAAACATAAAAACCCTAACACGCGAGCGAAGTCGCGGGGAACAGGTAGTAGAGGAATAAATGTAGAATAGCGGTTTTTTTTAACTTTCATGCAAGTCTTTTTATTGTTGCTCTGTGTCTAGCTTCGATTGTTAAGTCTTTTACATTAGTGCCTGCCAGTATCTGGAGACCTTCCGTACAGGCCCTGACGTTTGGCGCGTAAAAAATAAAATGTCCTAGCGCTTGACGGGTTAGCAAAAATCAATATCTAACTGAGAGGTGTAGCCTAATGCTATACTATTCCTATACTATTCCTCCTCCTCATGAATCTGGCTATAATATAGAAAATCATTTTTTTCAAATCGGACTGATAGTTCCAGAGATTGGCGTGTTTAAACAAACAAAAAACAAAAAACTCTTCCACTTTATTATATTAGTATAGATTACAAAGTTATAATGCAGTTGTGTTATGTTCATGTTATTTTTATGTTTATGTCAAAAAGTCAAATCATTTTTCAGAAACTTCTGAGAAGAAGATTAAATCAAATTCTACTGATTGTAACATAAACGATGCTCGTGAAGAAGACTTCGATTTTGAAAGCCCTACTATTAAATCAAACCCTAAAGTGAAAAAAGATAATCAACCAATTAATAAACAAGGAAAGCATCCTGCAAAGATTATGAAAACGAAAATTTTGAAACAAAAGAGTGTAAATATGCTTAAGAAAAAAACATCTGGGACATCAACTGAATACATTTTTGAATGTGATGGTTGTAGTAAAAAATTTTCAACAAAAGACATTCTCGCCAAACACATTTCATACAGTCATAAGACGCAAAAGAACTCAGACACCCCTGCAGTTCGGACACAAGTAGAACAAACTCCAGTACCACAACAAATAGAAATATTTAATTGTGATATTCGCGAATCACACAAAACATCTCAAAAACGTTACATATTGGCACATCTTAAAGCGCACGTCGCTAAACAAATGTACTGTTGTAATAATTGTGAATATAAATGTATTAGTAAAAGTAATTTGAAAACCCATATGAAAATACACACCGGTGAAAAACCTTTTTCGTGTAATATCTGTGAATATAGATGTATTACAAAAAGTCATTTGCAAACCCATATGAAAATACACACTGGTGAAAAACCTTTTTCGTGTAATATCTGTGAATATAGATGTATTACAAAAAGGAATTTGCAAACCCATATGAAAATACACACCGGTGAAAAACCTTTCTCGTGTAATATCTGTGAATATAGATGTATTAGAAAATGTGATATGGAAACACATATGAAAATACACACCGGTGAAAAACCTTTTTCCTGTAATATCTGTGAATATAGATGTGTTACAAAAAGTTGTTTGCAAATACATATGAAAACACACACTGGTGAAAAACCTTTTTCGTGTAATATCTGTGAATATAGATGTATTACAAAAAGTCATTTGCAAACCCATATGAAAATACACACTGGTGAAAAACCTTTTTCGTGTAATATCTGTGAATATAGATGTATTACAAAAAGTTGTTTGCAAATACATATGAAAACACACACTGGTGAAAAACCTTTTTCGTGTTATATCTGTGAATATAGATGTATTAGAAAAAGTGATTTGCAAATACATACGAAAACACACACCGGTGAAAAACCTTTTTCTTGTAATATCTGTGAATATAGATGTATTACAAAAAGTCATTTGCAAACCCATATGAAAATACACACTGGTGAAAAACCTTTTTCGTGTAATATCTGTGAATATAGATGTATTACAAAAAGTCATTTGCGAACCCATATGAAAATACACACTGGTGAAAAACCTTTTTCGTGTAATATCTGTGAATATAGATGTATTACAAAAAGGAATTTGCAAACCCATATGAAAATACACACCGGTGAAAAACCTTTTTCGTGTAATATCTGTGAATATAGATGTATTAGAAAATGTGATATGGAAACACATATGAAAATACACACCGGTGAAAAACCTTTTTCCTGTAATATCTGTGAATATAGATGTATTACAAAAAGTTGTTTGCAAATACATATGAAAACACACACTGGTGAAAAACCTTTTTCGTGTAATATCTGTGAATATAGATGTATTACAAAAAGTCATTTGCAAACCCATATGAAAATACACACTGGTGAAAAACCTTTTTCGTGTAATATCTGTGAATATAGATGTATTACAAAAAGTTGTTTGCAAATACATATGAAAACACACACTGGTGAAAAACCTTTTTCGTGTAATATCTGTGAATATAGATGTATTAGAAAAAATGATTTGCAAATACATACGAAAACACACACCGGTGAAAAACCTTTTTCTTGTAATATCTGTGAATATAGATGTATTACAAAAAGGAATTTGCAAACCCATATGAAAATACACACCGGTGAAAAACCTTTTTCGTGTAATATCTGTGAATATAGATTTACTAGAAAATGTGATATGGAAACACATATGAAAATACACACCGGTGAAAAACCTTTTTCGTGTAATATCTGTGAATATAGATGTATTAGAAAAAGTCATTTGCAAATACATTTAAAAACACACACCGGTGAAAAACCTTTTTCGTGTAATATCTGTGAATATAGATGTATTACAAAAAGTTGTTTGCAAATACATATGAAAACACACACCGGTGAAAAACCTTTTTCGTGTAATATCTGTGAATATAGATGTATTACAAAAAGTTGTTTGCAAATACATATGAAAACACACACTGGTGAAAAACCTTTTTCGTGTAATATCTGTGAATATAGATGTATTAGAAAAAGTCATTTGCAAACCCATATGAAAATACACACTGGTGAAAAACCTTTTTCGTGTAATATTTGTGAATATAGATGTATTACGAAAAGGAATTTGCAAACCCATATGAAAATACACACCGGTGAAAAACCTTTCTCGTGTAATATCTGTGAATATAGATGTATTAGAAAATGTGATATGGCAACACATATGAAAATACACACCGGTGAAAAACCTTTTTCCTGTAATATCTGTGAATATAGATGTATTACAAAAAGTAGTATGCAAAAACATATGAAAATACATACTGGAGAAAAAGCTTTTTCGTGTAATATCTGTGAATATAGATGTACCACAAAAAGTAATTTCCAAAGACATATGAAAATACACACCGGTGAAAAACCTTTTTCGTGTAAAATCTGTGAATATAGATGTATTAGAAAATGTGATATGGAAACACATATGAAAATACACACCGGTGAAAAACCTTTTTCCTGTAATATCTGTGAATATAGATGTATTACAAAAAGTAGTATGCAAAAACATATGAAAATACATACTGGAGAAAAAGCTTTTTCGTGTAATATCTGTGAATATAGATGTACTACAAAAAGTAATTTCCAAAGACATATGAAAATACACACCGGTGAAAAACCTTTTTCATGTAATATCTGTGAACATAGATTTATTAGAAAATATGATTTGCAAAGCCATATGAAAATACACACCGGTGAAAAACCTTTTTCGTGTAATATCTGTGAACATAGATTTATTAGAAAAGATTATTTGCAAAGACATTTTAAAACACACACTGGCGATAAACCTTTTTCGTGAGCTATCTGGTGAAATATGTACAATATTGTGTAAACTTGTTTTATATACATATGTGTGTACCAAATAAAAATCTATTTTTTGTGAATTTGTGATGTAATTATATAACGAGTAAAAACACCTTTCCGTGCCTTAAGTGCAAATTGAAACTGCATTTGTTCTGAAGATGTTAATTCAATAACTTATTTAAAATTTTGTACAACCGAATTCAATATAAATTATTAAGAATAATTCAAAAACTATTGGTCAGACCTTGATCAAATTTATATGAGACCAGACATGTGAAGCACCAGCTTTCAAATAAAAAAAGAGTTATCGAAATCGGTTCATGCAGAAAAAGGCATGAGGTAACAAACATAAAAAAGAACATACAGTCGAATTGAGTACCTCCTCCTTTTTGAAGTCGGTAGAAAGCAAAAAATATTGGAACCTTAAAATAAATACCGAATGTGTGAATGGAGGTTAGTGGAAACAGACTAGACCTTCATGTTTTTTTTTAAATTGAAATGATAGTTTACGTTTTACTTTTTTCGTCTCGACGTTTATCCATACAGCCTTTAAAACTACTCTGTTGAACATAGGCTTCCCCCGTGGCTTGCGTCATATTTGCCTTAGTTGCCATGCAGGTGGGTTGGGAACCGCGGTTTTTTTATTATTTTCACTTGTAATCAGGGAGACGTGGCTGCCCATCTTGTAGTTTGTTTCCCTCTGTCGCCTCTTACGACACCCACGGCACGAAATGGGGTAGTGGATTGTCTTACACCATCACCATAACTATATCATGTTATGATGCAGTGTGGTGGTGTCTGTCTGTACGTGGTAGAGCCACGCTGCAGCTATATTGTGGTTGTAGCACGAGTGGATCGGTGGGTAGGACCTCGCTCTCACAGAATACCAGCATAAAACAGCAGCTTTCGTGAGAAAATAGTGTTTCGTATGGTGAGTGTAGAGAACTGGAGACGCTTTTAACTGGTAACGAGTCATTCCTTCTCAGTCCTCATGGTGACAACGCATCTGCATTTTATTTCTTAATTTAGGATAAGGATTCTTAACCGATTCGTTATGGCACGGAATATTTCACGACACGCCTGGCGTGCCATCAGCCATGTGTAAAAAAAAAATCATTTTCTTTTTTATGCTTTTTTTCACTTGTTTAGACCTAATTAAGTTTAGTTGATATCATACATCAGTTACAAACGGAAGGATACTTGTTTTTAGTGGGTAACTACGTGTTTTTCTACGTATTTTCTTTGAAATTAAGAGTAATTGACTTTTTGTATGCAGAGATTACAAACCTTTTGTACTATATTTGTTTTATAAAAAAATCATTTATTCGTACGTACAGCTAAATCACACTGGAAAACTGGTTTTTACTAAATTAAATTTGCACCTAATAATAACATTTGGAAAAATATCAAACAATCAAGAACCTTAATTTGTAAAAAATTAGGTTTATGATTCATTAATATTTACAAATATTGATTTATTTATTTATACTCTTTATTGCACACAAAACACTACACAACACAGCAAACTTAAATTTATCAACGAATGTACAATTAGGTGGCCTTATCGCTAAACAGCGATCTCTTCCAGGCAAACCTTGGTGAAGGAGATAATTTTCATTTAAATATATAGAAGTGAGCATAAATAGTAGATAAACAAGCATACATTAAAAGTACATGGTATATACAATATATAAGAAAATGTAATAATGAAATAAATAATATTATATATACACATAAACAAATATATACATACACACATACATATACACATATACCTACATATACATAAATAGAATACATACACTTTTATAAATATTTCTGTAATACATTATAACTATATATCATATACATAAACCATATCAAGAAAAGTAGATATGACAATAAAATATATTAAGTAGAACACATTTAAATAATAATCTTTAACCACATTTTTGAAAGACTCAATGCTTTGGGCTTTTTAAATTGTTAAAGGAAGCGAGTTCCATAATTTGATTGCTTTGACACAAAAGGAGGAATGAAAATATTTTGAGTTGTGAGCAGGCATACGCAGTAAAAGTTTATCAGCTATTCTGGAATGATCTTTATTTGCGCCCAATAAATATTATTTTTATTGGGCGCAAATAAAGATCAAGAAATAAAAAAATATTATAATAATATAATATATAATATAAAATAATAATAATATTAAATATTATATAATATTATTATTTATTAATGTTATTATATATAATATTTAATGTTATACAAATGTAAAAGTAAAGTTGATGTGAAAACGTCTAATTAGTAAGAATAGCAAAACAAGTGTTTTCAAAAGGAAACAAACGCCGGCGCTATATGGCGGCGGATTGACAAAAGACTATTTATTAGCGAACTTTTTCATGCATGACCGGTTTCAAACTGTTTCAAGCAAAAATAAACATCATACCATATCACAAGAGCACATGGTACTTCGTAGGTCTATTCGGCCATATGATAGTAATAAGATGGCAGTACAAGCATTTTAAGCAAAATTAAACAATAAGACAAACGCATTCTTTTTTTTTAACAGGAGACATGTTTTCAGAAATTTATTTACAACTTGAGTTTGTGAGCGATCGCAATGAGTGCTATTATTTGTTACTTATTAGACTATTTTTCCACAACATGATTTAAAACCCACAAAGTAAAAAGAGTACCATATACAAGAGTAAAAAAAGGTTGTCAACCTCTAAATATTTCAAATTTTCAAAATATCCAGAAACGAAGCCGCAGGCATGAACTACTTGCAAAATAATGACTATTTTGTTCTGGATAAATTTTCCAAAAACGCAATTTGAGCGAGTTATAACGATTTTTAAAAAGACAAGACTCGTGTGTCATGCGCCACACACAAAAGTAATCAATGGCACGCCTGGTGTGCCATCCGCACTGAACCGGTTAATTAAATATATTTTACAAAAAAAATTGACTTTATATTCCTCCCGTCAACGTCAACAAAACGCCAATTCCATATGTAAAGACCTTATTGTTGCGGACGGCGTGGGGAGCCGCCGCCCCGTCGCCCCTTCATACCCCGTTGCGCCCCGCGCACCCCGCACACCGCCCGAAGATCACGCGATGCCGCCCTCCAATCTGCGCGCGGCACACCTTATAATGCCACGCACGCGCCGAGACACCCTTTTTGAGAATATAAGAAGGGTGTTTTGGGTTGTGCGTCGTTCATTTAGGCAGCGGCACTACGAGATACAACATCAAGAAAGAAGACCTCAAGAGAGAAAATACTCCATTGAAGACTCCCATCTGTATATAATTGATTAACGCCGCTTGTAAATAGTGCAATATATAATCGCCTACAGTACCATCTTTTCATCCACCGTCCCTAGTATTATAGTTTACCCTACACAGTTTTTTTATATATATAAAATTAGGGTGACAAACGAGCACACAGTCCACCTGATGGTAAGTGGTTGCTGTGGCCCATAGACATCTACATCTATCTTCGTTAGCTAAGTAAATTGCAGAAGCGTTGTCACCCGTGAGGACTAAGATGGAATGCCTCTTTTCCAGTAAAATGGGTCTCCGGTTCTCTACACTCACCATACGAAACACAGCAGCATTAAGCTGCTATTTTACGCTGGTATTCTGTGAGAGCGTGGTCCTTCCCCGGTCGAGCCGACCCATGCGTGCTACAACTACTATTAATATAGCTATAGCATGGCTCTACCACGTCTATATAGATAAGATAGGTCGAATCTGTATGTAACAGTCAGTACAAATAAAAGAAGGTAGAACTAAACGCACTAATTTTATTTTATACTCGAATTACAATTTCGGCAGAGTTTCGTTTTATTACGAGCGGTAGTGTGATCACTCCCCAAAATTGAGCTTGTAAGAAACTATATAACACTATCCCACACCAGAGACATCTGGTGGTTAGAGTGGTGGCTTCCGCTTGGCTTGGCTAGGATTGGCTGGCTTGAATGGTGCGCTGTGATTGGCTGTGGCGGTGTGGCGTAACATGTACTAAAACCAAATCAGAACGCCCCGACTTCACGTAGTCGTGTCTGTCCTACCCCTAGAGTGTTTTTGTAAAGCCGTAGGCGCGGAGGGAGTGGAGCCCCCGCCCGCTGTGGCAAAACGCAGGCATCCTTGTGAACCGTAGAAGCTGACGAAGGCGACCAATAAGCCGAAGCTGCGGAGGTGTGCATGGGTGCTTGTGATTTGCCACGCACGGGCGAAGGGGCTGCACTCCCCGCAGCGCCGAAGCCGTTGCAGAAGTAACTATGGCAATATTATTGCAACTCAAATTTCAACTAGTTTTTAACTAATTTTTAAACTTGGTATCTAATTAGCCAATAATTTGGACTTTTTACAAAAGCCATTTTGATTCTATTTTGATTTTCAGAAAACCTGAATTTTGCGTCTGCTATGTTCTGAATAACGACTTTATTTTTATTAGGGGCGCCTTGTCATTGCCTTTATTCGCAGCACCTAATTAGCACTTAACTCCTTGCTATTAATATTTATCGTATATCTAATAACTTCATTGTGTTGCTAGCGAGACGTTTTGCTAGCAACGCAAACAACACGCTTTCAACAGTTCGTTGCAGTGAAAATTTTAGAGCACATAATTTTTAAACTTGGCACCTAATTAGCACCTAAAATGCCCCTAATTTTGGGTTTTTCTAAATGCATATTCCTGATTTTGTGTTGCTGGCGATACACAACTTGTAAAAACGAAGATCACGAATGAAATGAAGACATGTCTTAATGAGCAAGCATCCAAGCTAAAAATCTTAATAAAACATGTAATGGAGATTTGATGCTGTCAATAGCTGTCAAATTGAGAGTTTTTGGCGGGAACTTAACCGGCGGCAGTTAGCTGCTCCTGTGTTATTGTTTAAATAATGGTTTGAAGTGGACTTTGATATGTAAAAGCGGTGAGATTTTGTGTATTAAGTGTCTGCGCATGTGAACTATTAGAGGAAACTTTGAAACAAGTGCTCTGATGGTGATGGATTCTCAAGATAAGCTGTTTGTTTGAATAGGCGCCTTTAGATACCATCGCCAACTGTCAGCTGCCTCCTGGCTCAAGTTGCCGTCAAAATTTCCCAAGGGCTGCACAATGTAACGCATTAACATATTGTGAAGCAGTGAACTATGAAGGATAATTATACATGAAGACAAGGCTGTATGACGTAGTTTTTTTGCCTGCTCTCTCGAGCGAATAATAAGAACAACAACAACTGTCAAATTGACTGGTAACTTTCAATCACTGACTTAGAAGTATATGGACTGGGCATAACTACAGAATTAGCGTGACTACCTAAACAAAACTGGCTCATAAAATGGCCGCCTTTTATAGGGTTGTAACTCAGCAATATGGGCAGTTGATATCGATATTTTTACTAATATGAGTTTGTTCTTATTTCATATAATTATAAAAATTAAATTCATAGCCTAATTGCGTAACACACCTAAAATGGCAAACCATACGAATTTGACAATTTAACAACATCCATTGCGTGGTTTTTGTTGTCGAGCAAAAGAATTTTTCAATCACATGAAGCAATGGATATTGTTAGGTTGTTAAATTAGTTTTGGATTGCTATAAATTTCGCTTGAGCTGCTTCACGAGGCTTCACCGCATATGTACACTTACGCAATGCACACTCTGTTACAGATTTTTTGTGTTAGGTACACAGTCAAACAAAGAGTTAAGTATGCATGCAGCTAACTTGCAACTTGTTTTAAACAATATTCTGAGTATGGTAAGTGCTTACTAGAGTTTTGAAGTTATACTTCTTTTGGCGCATTTGAAAAAAATGATGACAGTGATTTTTTTTACAACTTTAGTTGGTAATTGTCTGTCTATTAAGTTTTTGTGAGAACTGATAACTATATTCGAGGTAGTTATACAAATATATATGAATGTATAAAACGTGTTTTATTTTAGTTATTTTTGTTTTGTTATGCTAAAGAAGTATAACTTCTTACGTGCGTATTTAAGTACACACACACACACACACACACATTTTGTTTTATATCAATGTGAGCAAAGTTAAAAAGTACAACGCACACAATAAAAATGAGTATTGACAGAGTAGTGGGAAAATAAATATTTTCGCTTGTATACCAAATACCTTTGTTTACTGTACAATAATATTGTACAGTAAACAAATGTATGAAGATGGGATGGAGATCCTTGATTCCATATTGTAATCCCATATTATAGTATTTTTAATATAAAATAATAATGATTAGTTGAGTAAAAATTAAATAAACTATTTTTAAAATCAATACTTATTTATTATTAATTGGTATATAGGAACGTTCTTTACATAATTGATCACAAATGGTAAGTTATATAAGCATGTTCGGTCCTGCCGGATATCATATTTAATTTTCTTATTCAGATTTTAAATGAAAAATATTATTATTTTCGCAGGTACATTAATTTTGTTCATTTAAAATTCGTAAAATCTGGCATGATCATGTTACGGTGGATGAAATATGATATCCAGGATTTATAAACTATTATTATTATTATATATTCATTTCTGAACAAAATTAATTTATTAATATAATTTCTATCGACACCATAGATAAGATTGTACGACACTATTTCACTATTTTTTGACAGTTTGACAGCAGATCTACCTCAAAACTTGGCGCTTAACATGGCGGCGTAGTCACGTATGGATGAGCTAATGACGTCACACGAAAGTATTACCAAAATAAGCACTTTACAAGCTGTAGATGTCTCTCTTTTCTATTGCAGCTACTGCTTTGTTAAAAAGAGACAACACTGTTTTTGACAAGTGTGTGTTGATATTATAGATATTTGTATAACTATTATTTTTATAGTGGAATATGCCCTCGCCATAGGTATATATCTCTATGCTTTCAATCCTGTCATGCTCCTAAAATATTACTTTGTTTTGGTTTTGGATTATAATATTTGGCTTATTATGCCAAATACTGCCTGCCTTACTGCATTTTATTGTTTTTGAAACTCCTGTTTATTGATGTAAAAGTGAATCCAATTATATTAGACTACCCCAGGAGGGTACCAGTACCCCTGGAGAATCCCTCGCTGAGCATCCACGACCATGTTATTCCAATCCTGAGCGTGGGTGCTCAGGCTGCCCCGCGTATTCTGGGGGGGGCAAAATTCCGCTCAAAAACAAAACTGCTTGGGGCAAACTGAGCAACAATACCAAGGCGACCCCTGCCACGCTATCCGTGAATTTCTGCAACATCAGGGGACTTCACTCTAACCTAAACGCCGTCCACTACCATCTCGAGACGGCGAAGCCGGCCTTGCTCTTTCTGACCGAGACGCAGGTTTCCTCTCCGGCTGATATTTCGTATCTCTCCTGCCCGGGGTACAAATTGGAGCACTCCTTTGTGCCTCGGGCTGGAGTTTGCGTGTATGTCAGAGAGGACATCTGTTCTCGACGCCTCGGCAGTCTTGAAGGTTCGGACCTGTCCATCCTTTGGCTACGCTTAGACAGCGACGACCATCCGCGCGTCTACGGGTGCCTCTATAGGTCCCATAGCGGTAATGCCGAAACAGACCGACTCATCGACCACGTCCAAATGGCTACAGATTCCTTGCTACAACAGGTCCCATCCGCAGAGATCGTGATCCTTGGCGATTTTAACGCCCACCATGCCGAATGGCTCGGTTCACGTTTAACCGATCATGCGGGGAGATCTGTTTATGACTTTGCTTTGGCATATGGTCTGACACAACTGGTTACTTCGCCTACGCGGATTCCAGATGTGGAAGATCATACACCTTCCCTGTTGGACCTTCTGCTGACCTCTCATCCGGACGGATATCAGGTTTCCGTCGATGCCCCTCTCGGCTCTTCGGACCATTGTCTGATCCGGAGTATGGTGCCACTCACGCTCCCTTCGCGGTTGCGTTCTGCAGGTTGCCGCCGTGTTTGGCATTACAGGTCGGCGGATTGGGACGGAATGCGGTCTTTCTTTGCATCCTACCCATGGGGGCGGGTTTGCTTCTCGCCGGATGATCCCAGCGCTGTTGCTGACTCTGTCACTGATGTGGTGCTACAGGGAATGGAACTATTTATTCCATCATCTGTGGTACCCATCGGAGGCAGGTCTCAGCCTTGGTTTGGTCGCTCCTGTAAGACTGCATTGCGCAGAAAGCAGGAGTGTTATCAAGCCTGGGCTGCGGCTTCGGTGACTCGGGATGTAAACACCAGCACACTTAAAAAGAAGTATAACTTCGCCTCCAGGTCCTTCAAAAGAGTTATTGCCAAGGCAAAGTCAGAGCACATAGGCAGAATTGGCGAGAAACTAGTTCGCCTTCCTTCGGGAACCCGTGCATTCTGGTCTCTCGCCAAGGCTGTCCAAGGGAATTTCTGTAAGCCATCACTACCATCTCTGCACAGGGAGGACGACTCACTGGCCCACGACGCAAAAGAGAAGGCCGACCTTTTAGGCTCCCTTTTTGCGTCCAACTCGACTGTTGATGACGGGGGGAACACACCGCCGACCATCCCGCGGTGTGAGTGCTCTATGCCGGATGTGCTATTCTCACAGCGCTCGGTTCGCAGAGCACTCCTCTCCCTTGACATCCACAAGTCGAGTGGGCCTGACGGAATCCCCCCAATTGTGCTGAGGACGTGTGCTCCGGAGTTGGCACCGGTTCTAACGCGTCTTTTCCGGTACTCCTACTCCCATGGCGTTGTCCCGAACTCATGGAAGACAGCTTTTGTCCACCCGATCCCTAAAAAAGGCGACCGCTCAGACCCGTCCAACTATAGGCCTATCGCGATCACCTCCTTGTTCTCCAAAATAATGGAATCCATTATTAACTGCCAGCTCATCCGGTACCTTGAGGATCACCAGCTGATCAGTGACCGCCAATACGGTTTTCGTCGGGGTCGATCAGCTGGTGATCTTCTAGTCTACCTGACCCATAGATGGGCGGAGGCAGTGGAGTCCAAGGGGGAGGCGTTGGCCGTTAGTCTGGACATTGCGAAGGCCTTCGATCGGGTTTGGCACAAAGCGCTTCTTTCGAAGCTCCCTTCCTATGGGCTTCCCGAGAAATTGTGCAATTGGATCACCAGCTTCCTTGCAGATCGGAGCATCAAGGTCGTTGTAGACGGTGCATGTTCTGACTACAAGCCTATTAACGCTGGTGTTCCACAAGGCTGTGTGCTATCACCAACGCTGTTTCTTCTGCATATCAATGATATGTTGCTAACTGGTAACATTCATTGCTATGCGGATGACAGCACTGGTGATGCTCTATACACCGGCCGGGCCAATATTTCTCGGGAAAACGTCGCCGAGTACCGGAACAAACTTGTGTCTGAAGTCGAGTCTTTGCTGGACAAAGTCTCGAATTGGGGGCGACTAAATCTAGTCCAGTTTAATCCTCAGAAGACACAAGTTTGCGCGTTTACCGCTAAAAAGAACCCCTTTGTCGTATCTCCTCACTCAGGCACTCCCCTTCTTGCCTCAGCCAGTATCGGTATCCTCGGAGTCGACATATCGAGTGACGTGCAGTTTCGTGGTCACTTGGAAGAGAAAGCCAAATTGGCCTCTAAAAAGCTTGGCGTGCTCAGCAGAGCGGGACAGTATTTCATGCCGGCACA